ACTTGTGGGCTTGGGCAGCATTGGGTTGGGATGTTTTCATGATGCACATTTTCTTTATATAAAACTCTCTCTTATACATGAGTTACTGTGGATTTGTTTCTCCAAAGTACCCAGACTAATACAGTCGGTTTTGCTCTTTAACCTTTCTGTAGCAACAAGGCTTCAGGAATAAAGTAGCTCGCTGGCTTTCTCCTAGTAAAACCACCTTAGCCAAAAAACCACCCTGACACATAGTAATGCTCCAGGATGGAGCACCTGCCGCTGAGTCTCCGGGCTCTTTCCTGGAGAGGCAACCTCACCTTCCCCACAGCGCAGCCAGAGGATTTGACTACGGAACTGAGGGTTAGCAGCAAAGTGCCCTAGGGCTCCTTCATTCTGTCCGTCTGGGTGCCATTTCGTGTTGAAGGATGGTTTCGACCTCCTTCCTTAGAGCCTGAGGACCCCTCTCACGTGGACCACAGGCTGTGGAACCTGCCTTCCTCTTGTACCCTCCAGGAATGGGTCCGATGGAGGCACCCCCTCACCTGACGGCTTGCATAGCTCACCTGGGGCTTAGTGGGCCCTGACGCCTCCCCAGAGCGGGTGCTAACTGCTCCCTGTGTTCAGGCCCACCAGGCCGTCTCTATGACCGCGACTGGCGAGCAGCCCTCTTTCCCCACTGCGGTTGCTTCTTGACTCCTCAGAAGCGATGCGCTGATCTTATCTTTTCCAAGTTCCAGATTTCGACTTTGTTTGATGCTCTCCTTTGTGGATCTCTGCACAGTATCAGCTCTCCGTGCCTCTGGTGGCATGGGCAGCAGCGGGGGAACGATGGGTGACGTGGGCGGCTGGCAGCCACTGGACCAGCCTCTCTCCTCGCCATGCAGCCTCTGAACGGTCTGTCCCCCAGCTTCACCTCAGCTCACCTCGCCCGCTGGCCCGGCTCCAGGGGAGACACACGGGCAGGTGTGGTGCATGGGCACTGCTGGCCAGGCTCCCCTTTCAGGAGTGAGGGCCAGGCGGTTCCTCCAGCGTTGCACCAGGCCTTCTCAGCAGACCCCCGAGCTACCTGCTCACTCTCCAGCTCTGTGCAGCTACAGCTACAGCACGCTGGAGGCCACTGCGAGACCACCCAGAGCAGCCACTGGCGGGCCCTGCCCAGCTGAATGCAGACACCCCGACTGACACAGGGGAGCTTACAAAGCAGAGGAGTCTTGCAAGGTTGGGCGCGGGGCTTGGCTAGCAGAGAACAAGCTCTCCTGGGGCCCCGTGTCCTCACCTCAGTCACGTAGCCGATGTACTCGATGACGTGTCCATTGCACTCCTGAGTCTTCAGGAGCAGTTTGTCACCTGGCGAAGGACACAGAGCCACACAAGTCAAACCGAGGGCACCGTGACACCCTGTGCACTTGAAGTCTCATCGCGGGTCACCTGCGGGCCACGCAAGTCAGTGCGACCCAGGAACCGAGCTGGAGGCCAGGTGACAGACAGTGAGCCCTGCTGTGGCCGGCCTCCCTGGCCTGCACTCACCTGTGTACAGGGAGGGCCGGCTCTCGGCCAGGCCGGGGACCTCCAGCACCAGCAGGTGGCCGCTCCTCTTCAGGATGACCCCGCTCCGGTTGTACTCCTTGAGCTCGATCTCCGCGTGGATCTCCTCCAGCCACAGCAGCGTGGAGAACTTCTCCTTGTAGTTGGACATGTTCAGAAGCTGAGAGCACAGAGTTGGCGGTTAGGGAACTAGGCAAGAGCATGCCAGTCCCAGGAACCGGCTGTCCTAGATCTAAGGCTGCTTTGCTCCTGTCTGATAGGCGACCCAGGGCCTGGGGCCCAGCAGGAAGAGGACACTCCTGCCTTCTGCTTTCAGCTGTCTCTGCAGCAACGGCCTCCCCCCCCCCACCAGTCCTGTTTAGGTCTTCTACAGACACCTACAGTGTGAGGGTGGGCTGCAGCTTCTGCTGGGAGGGAGTAACAAGAACCAGGCTTACACTCCCCCTACCACGAACATAATACAGAGGAGCAGCTTCATTCTGCTAAACACCAGGAGCACAGGACAGAGGTTCCCGCTGGGAGTCCCGGCTGGAGCCCACACAGGACCCGTTCCGAAGAAAGCACCAAGCTGGGCGTGGCTTCCTCCACACATCGTGCTCCTGGCTGTTGTTTCTCTCACATTGATTCCACCTCAATCTCACCCCTCCTTCAATGTCCACGCCAGGACATGCCCACAGCACTGCTACCCCATGGCCACCTGTTCCACTGGGCTGCTCCTGGCTCTGAGCCTCTACCCTTGCTGGCCCCTCAGGGAAAAAACACCACTACCATGTGGGAGGGCATGTGGGAGAATGTCACGTGTGAGAGGACCTGGGTGGCAGCAGGGATGTCCCTAGCCTGACCACGTTCTGTGTCAGGTGGCAGAGGGAGCCAAGGAGAGGCGGGCTGCTGCGAGCCTGGGAAGCCAGTGCTCATGAGATGCCGTCCAGCTCAGGCTGCGCAGGAGGCCCCGGCCCGACAGCATTTTCTCGTGGTCCTGGATCCCCAGCCCCTGAGGCAGTGGCAGCGGTCAGCAGTGGGCACAGTCCAGCCTGAGGGGCTCTCCCACGTCTGCCAGATGGATGCCAGGGTGTGCCCTCCTACCTCTGCAAGCAGAGGCTGGAATGTCAGCACATCAATCTTGTGCTCCACACATTTCTTAAGTCGATCTGGGATTGGATACTGTGGGAGAAAACTGGGAAGCTGTCGTCTTGAATTCCTTAAAAGATAAATCCACAAGTTAAAAGCCAGTCTGAGCCTCTCTGGTGGGTTACACACAGGCATCTCTCAAAAAGGTCAAAGGGCAGCTGCTCACTACAAACATTGCCCAAGACGCTGGCTTCCTGTCAGCTATGAGTCAGAGAGTGCTGGTAGTAGGCCCCCTTCTCGACCCAGGCTCCATGCCACAGCGGACAGTGGGCCACTGTGGTGGGTGCAGAAGGGGCAGGGATCCCAGGGACTGTGGTAACCTGTGAGTCTAGACACTCTGGCTCTGACTCGGTTAGCTAATCTCTCCCTGCTGTGCCCCAGAGACGGTCCAGGAGCACAAGGAAGCTCACCCAGGTGAGTACTGGACGTCTGGTGCCATCTGCTTGGTGGGCACCTAGGGAGGGACCGGGCCTTGCCGGCAGGCAGGCAGCCCACCCAGGGCATCCCCCTCGCCCCACCCTCCCTGGCCCTGGCCCTTTCAGTGGGTGCACAAGGGGAAGGGGTTGCACCCCTCGGGCCCCCGCTGAGACCTCGGCCAGCAGCTGTACCCACCGCTTCTGAGTGGTCACCACCACGGTTGTTTTTGTGGATGGCAACACTGGGGGGCTTTTGGATTTCTTCCAGGAGAATGGCTCTCGGACCCCGACCAGGGCCTCCTCTCCGCTGACCACATTCACGTCCAGGTACCGGCCAATGTTGAAGTCAGCGAAACACAGCAGCAGCAGCTCTCTGCAGCGGCCGGAGTCCCTGCGGGCAGCAGAGGCCCAGGCAATGCAGCCCCGCCCCTGCTGCCCACAGCCCCTGGTGTTCTGGGAGCGGCTCTCAAGGGACAAGGACAAACATTCCAAGGCTCAGGAGCGACAGCGGGCGCCTGACACGGTCTTCCCCATGGTCCTCACGTCTCAGCAGGAGAAAGGCATGCCCCGTTTCCCGAGTCCACTCTGCACCTCACATGGGACCCAGCACACACCCAGCATCCACTCTATGTGGCCACACAGCCCAAACCCAAACCTGCTCAGCTGCCCTACAGGACGGAGCCTGACGCCACCCGCCACCGCTGCCAGATCTCCTAGCCGCAGGCAAGACGTTAACAAGACCCCAGCCCTGTGCCCCCGGGCAGGCACCAGGCTCCTACTTGGCATCGCACATGATGACCACGGAGATCTTGTGGCCGGCGGGGATCTGCTCGCCTGTCTCAGGGACCTGCTGCCTCCACGGACAGGCTTCCTCCTCCGCACACCCTCCTTCCTGGGCGCCAGCATCTGGGGACAATTTCAATCTCAAACCAGACCGAGAGGGGAGGACAATGCTGTGTCCCCCCACCCCAAGCCTGAGACTCACTGGCCCCCGTGTCGCCAGGCTGGTACCACCTGCTGGGAGCTGCCAGGGGTCAGGCTCACACCCTGGCCAGGTCCCCAGCGGCTGGTGGAGAGGCCCACCTGGAACAAGGCATCCCTTGCCCCTCAGCAGGCTCCCTGCCAACGTCTGGCAGGGCTGGTTCCTGGGGTTGGCCAACGGGCACACGCCGGTGTCTGAGACGCCCTCCTCCCTCATAGGCCTTGTTGGGGCTCTCCCAGGAGCAAGGAGCCGGAACTGTCTGGTCTTATCCCAGCCGCCCAGCTTGCAGCTGACCAAGTGCTGAGGGACGTCCCCTTTATTCCTGAAAGCAGAGCTGATTTGAGCAGACAACCAGGACCCCTCTCACTAGCCCCCCACTACCAGAAATCCTCAGGTGGGAACCACCTCCCGCCTTGGTACTGGGGACTCCCTCCCTCTGCCGGAACACCCTGCTACTGGGGCACCCACCACCACCAGAAGCCCACAGCTAGCAGGAACCCCTCCACTATCGGGGAGCACCCTGCTCTGGAAAACCACCTAAAACCGGAACCCCGGTACCCACAAGCATCCTCATTACCAGAACACCCCCATATGCTGAAAACAACTCCACCACTTGGAACCAATATGCCAACCACCTCACTTCAGGAAGCACCTGCTGTCAGAAACCACCCCAAAGCCACCCCTAACCAACCACTACTAAGAACCACCCCAATATCCACCCATTACCAGAAAGCCCCCCTCATCACCCCCTGGGAACCCCAGCGCTACACTGACTGGTGAGCGGCCACCGAGGGAGGACTGAGGGTGCAGCTTTGGCCGACAGAAGTCCTGGCGTCCTGGCGGCCGTGCCGGCCCAGTGGCCACTCACTCTATGCAGACCACCAGGCTCTTTGTCTCGCCTCTTCTCAGAGTGCCAAAGTCCGTCGTCCTCGTCACCTCCATGTCCGCCTTGTCGCTGAGCAGCTGGGCTCCACAGGCATCGTCAGCAGCCTCAGCGCGGGAGGAGGCCTCTCTATAGAAAGCAGCCAGAGACCTGGGTCACATCGGCGATGTGATGGCCTGTGAGACCTACCTCCCCAAGGCCTCGCTGCCCTAGACGGGTGGCGGTGTCAGCGCCGGGACCCGGGGACAAAGCCTTTGCAGCAGACGCCTTTCTCCACAGGCCTTCCTTGTGTGTTCCAGACCAACCCCACCAGGGCAGGAGCAGGCCCCACGTACTGCCTCCTGATGGGCGTGATGCACAGCGCCCGCCACATGTAGCACGCCTGGCTGCTCTCCACCGCCACGGCACTGATGACATCGTGTCTGCGGGGGCTGTACCCACTGGGGAGTGTCAGCGAGTCCAGGGTGAAGAAGACGCAGTCATCGATCACCCCATTGCGTCCGCAGAGGCTGGAGATGCAAACCTAGAGTGTGGTCAGTGTGGGGATGGGGAACTCACCACCAGTCCTCACTCCCCAAC